GGCAACCTAGAACCAGAAAAATAATATTCTCCGCAAACTTGTCAGCTCAAAATAGGAAGCACATTCTTCCACCCTTAAAACGTAGACTTAAACTCTATGCTTATGCTGCCGAATATACCTTGCTATATTAGTATGGGTGACAAAAACACATACTTAACACGTAAGTATATTTAGCTATAAATTAGTCAGTCATCAGATCATCACATTTGCAAGATATACAAAAAAAATATAAGCTGCTCCTCGCCTTCTGAACCCTCGAAAGGAACTTCCTTATGGTTGTTATCTTCCTTAAATTTGCCTGGAGGACTCTTGCCTGCAAATACCGGTTAACTTGTGTGAATGTGGGGTGGTATAAGATTCATCACACTTTCTTAGTTGACTTTTCCATTCAAATCGCTCTTTTCTGAAGGGACAAGGTTTATTTATTTGAACTAAATATGTTAAGTATAGCCAGTAAACTTTTACTTATAAAGATCATTGCAAATTTGAAACTAACTCCACTTATATTGATAACATATTACCCCTAAATAGAAAATAAAACATTCAGAAGTATGTAATATTGGAGAAGTGGTATAATGCTTGTTAGATAAATTCTTTCTTTTTTTGTGCACTACTACCCATTTTTACACAAAAATATCTATTTTAGCACTTAAATATTTATTTTGAGATAACCTTTTATCCAAACTTATATGTAGTACATAGATAAAACCAGAAATAAAATAATAAAAAGCTGTATACAAGATATCATAAAACAATGGATGAAATAAAAGAAGTTCTTATTAATCGGATTCTTAAATAAAACTTATGAAGACATATTCACGTTAACAAAATACATTAGGAAATTTCCGCATATGAAACAAAATCCAATTTGGTAATGAAATCCTTTTGTATCTATAAAGCTATTTTTAGAGAACTCGTACCTACCAAAACAGGTAGTTAATAGTATACATATCTGTTACACACTGTAATGCGTATGAATGATAACAAAACTAAGGAGTCCATATAAACCGTCCAGACTTTACGCGAGAATTATACATCTTATAGCAGAGTTGCCAAACTATCAGTGCTTACTTAAACCGATATACATATGGTTCCAATATACAGTGAAAAAGATCTGAACGACCCCTATAATATATACACGTGAACTAAGCGATATACATTTATGATACAGGGATAATTATGGGCTCCAAAATTTTTTTAAAAATTATGAAACTATACATGTTGACGAATCGACAGAGCCAATATTATGAAATGGTCAAGTGAGCTCCGTATATCGGTGTCCACTTGACCACGGAGCTCACCTGAACCTGAATTTTAACATGGGCGGAGTCCACTTTATGCCGTAAATATATATATATATATATATATATATATTGATATATATATATATATATATATATATATATATATATATATGTATATATATATATATATATATATTAATATATATATATATATATTGATATATATATATATATATATATATATATATATATATATATATATTAATACATATATGCGGTTAGTACAGTTAAACCTAGAGCTAAGATAAATACTCTTCCAAGAATTAATCACAAGTCTTCCGGGTTGAAACGCGTCGATTATCACTGTTCCAAGCTTTCGACATCGTCTTTAGAGTTTCCGAGGTCTCAATCTCCAGAGCTCAGACATTACTTCACTGATTACTAACATCAATGGATTGGTTAGTGATCGATCTAAATGGCAGATTCGTCTAAATATTCTAGAACGAGCTGAGCCATGATAGTAGAAATACTTGCACCCATTGCACATTTATTCGTTTTTTGGTATATTTCGTCTGTATATTAAAAGTATGTTGAGTTTAATGTTAACTGATTATTGGAATCCTTACAATGGGATATTACTGTACTTTTTTATGTAATTCCACTTATTTTTAAGGATGTCAGTGACATGCTTTATTGGGATGTTTGTTTATATTGAAATGATATCTAAAGATATTAATTTATGGTTATTTGGTACGTGAATATTTTTAATTTTAGAAATAATTTTATTGGAATCTTTAATGTAATTTTAACGATTAACGATATTATTTGTGATATTAGAAATATTTTTTTAAAGAACTTTGAAAGATTTTCGAAGGGTGATTGAATGCAGGAAACGATAGGACGTAAAGTTTTTTATATATAAGCCTTAAATGGTAAATACTCGAGCTTATGAGAGATGTAACTTTTAATTTGATGTTAAATAGAGCAGAATACCTTGAGCGATTCTAATAGAAGTGTGTAATCTCCTTGGCAATACAAAAGCTGACAGCCACTGACAAATCATCATTTAAGAACTTTTATCTGCTTCTATATGTCACTCAAAATTAATTTTTTAAATTCGCACTTGTATTTTTTTCTGGTGGTCTTGATGCAGTATCAAATGAGCATGGTGAAAAATTTCGCAACAACATATTACACATTGAAAGTAGCTACAATGGGAAATCGTTAGCAGCAATGCTATTGATCGATTGTCTGTTGTTTTTTTACGTTACAGTTTACTCCAAGGGAAAGGAGTTTAATAAAACTCTAAGGGAAGCAATGAAAAAGAAAAAAAATACAAAAAATCCCTAGATTTAATTAAACTTTCATGGCCTGTACCTAAAAAAATATAGTTCTTTTACTATCAAACTTAAACAAAGTACTTTTTAACTGTTTTATAATTGTTTTTACTCTAATAATATCGTTTTTTAATTATATGAAAAGGTCATGTGCTGTATTTATTCCCAAGGTAAACTCCGCCTTTAGAGCATCAAAAACAACGACATCATGCATGAAATCAAAAAGAAGGAAAACATTTTTTTGTAGACCAGTGAATAGACTAAAGGCAAACTTTAAAGAACACAATAATAAAAACAACACTAGCAAAAGATAGATCTAAAACTAGTTTAAAAAATAAATTACTATCCGTTGCAAGATAATTCGGATGGAATTCTCCAGATTAAGAAACTGGGACGATATCAAGCACAAAATGTTTGTACTTCCTTAATACTGTAACTAATAGTCACCCTCAGTCTTTCGTTACATTAGGTTTAATTTTAAATTATATCCAAAGTGTAAAGCTACTTTAATAAATAATGCAAAGTAGGTGTAGCCAGGCATGTATTTCAATTTTGAGTTGTTAACGATTTCTAAATAAAATTTTAAGCATAATTTTGTGTACGTATTTAAGTTTAATTAGTTAATTGCATGTGTACTTTCAGAATTATAAATTTTTTACGTATGTAAAGCCAGTATTTATAAGAGATTAGAAAATTTCTTGGAATTTCATTCAGTTAAAAGGATAATGTTTACTTAATATCAAATTATCACTAAATGGGCTGCTGTGAGACGAAAGTTTATTTGAAACGAACTTCATTTTTCTTTTGTCGTTCATTTAGAACAGAAGTCAGTGCAATAACTATAAATATGAGTAATAGAAATGATTAGTGACGATGTCCTGTACAAACATTCCTATGTCCACTATTTCAAGTGAAGTGAAGACGAGTCTGAACCTGAAAAACGTTCTGATTATATTTATATCGCACAAGATGCAAAGCAAATCTTGCTTAATGGTTACACCGGTAAGTACTCGTTAGAAAGACTCTACTAGTTGAAAGTCCTAATACCGGGTGAATTTTAAAACGACCAGTACCAGGTGGGGCGACTTATCATCCTAGTAGTTTGGTTCCATTATTAGCTAAAGTATTCGTTAGTACCAATTCAACAAATTAATATAAAAGAAGTCAAAATAAGAAACTCACCAAATAAACAGATAATTTTCACTTTTCAAATTCTTCTAGAGACAATCCCAACTAGAAAGCGATGCTTCAAAGAATCTATACAAAAATATGCTAATAGGAGAATTAAAAAAGTTTCCACTGTGTAATAGCAAGAATGGAACTTCAAAGATAAAGGAAACACATTATAATCAACACCGAATATGTAAAGAATGCTACTGCACATCATGGCAAGTAATTAGTAGAGTCATTACTAACCATTTTCCAAAACTTTCGTCTAAACTGATAAAACCAGATTTGTAGAACGTGAAAACACTCGATACTACGTGGGGCGAATTCTCGCCCTAGATACATATATTTAATTTGCTGTTCGCGTTATTTCGGGTTTTACTACTTCTTTGTACTCTTAATACATCAACTACCAATGTCCTAAACCATCTAGGTGATTAATTAAACTTAATTACAGATATTAATAAAAACGATTTACCGATTAATTAATTAATTAATTAATATAAGGTTGAATGCTCGAATAAATGAACTCAATGAAAAATTAAACGCAGTTATATCGAGCACAATTTTAATAATCAAATCTTGCCCAAGTACTTTCGCTTTCTACAGCAACATTAGGGGTATTTCGTCAAATTTGGGCTATCCAGCAAGCGCAGAATGTAATAAACATCAAATTAAACATAGATTGTACATAACACTACACTAACACAAGGACAAGCAGTTTAAAATTATTTAAAAATTATTCTACGCTACATTCTTATCGGCAACAGGAGAGAGGATAGGTACAAGTTGCTTTATTACTCTCTGCTAAGAGTGTAAGTGATTGTCGCTTTGATAATCATCAAGATATGAATATTACTTTGTTTGAAAAGTGGTTTGAGCAGCAATTACTACCTAAATTAAAAAGAAATAGCGTTATTATTTTGGATAATGCTCCGTATCATTGTAGACTAAAGAGTAAAATTTCAAACACTACTTTAAACAAAGCTAAAATTCAAGAATTTTAATCAAAACATGAAATATATTTTATGGATTCTTACACAAAAATCAACTTGTAGAACTATTAAAATTGGTTAAATGTGAAAAAAATATGTTATCAACAGGCTAGCTCAGAATTATAGTCACAAAATGATTTGTGTAAAGTCCGACCCTGTATACAACTATACCTAGAAGATTAAATCCGAAATATCTTGCAACGAACAGTAATTGTGAACAATTTCTTAACTACTGCGACAAAAATATTAAATCTTACCTTGGATACGCTTGGTAAAAATGTGCTAAAAAGAAATCTAAACATTCCTTTAAGACTACCAAATGAGGTGAGATTCTTTCCATTAACACAGAATTCGTTGTTTGGATTGGTCAAGGAATCCACTTCAACTCCAAATGCTGTAGACGCTATTACATCATTACCGTACCGTGAAGTTACTCCTTTCAATTCCACTGGGACAATCTCTTTATTTTGATTGAGATAAAAATTGACTAATCTTTCAGCGTTGGCTTTCATTAAAACAAACATTCCTTTCATCTTACTGCTAGTGAAAGAGGGGCTAAGTGTGGATCTCATGTTTCTCCATTTGCTGCCTAGAAAAAATATAGTAAATACAGAATTTGTTTGTTATTATTTTTATGTTTGTTTAATTTAGTCATGACAAAGAACGTTTCTTATTCGTTGATGTAAAGAATTAAACTTTTGCAGACATTATTGGGAGCAACAATCATAATATGTATTATCTTGTTGTTTATCTTAACACCATTATTACGAAATCACTTTCTGAGATATCCCGGTAAATAAGAAACATAAACTAGATTTTTCAAGAAAGCTATTTCAATAAACAAAGTTTCCATGATTTCTGGTCAATATATCATCATCATTATCAATTAGCCTATATTTGTCCACTGCTGAACGTAGGCCTCCCGTAAAATATTCCACCTATTTCTATTTTAAGCTTCTTGCATCCAGTTGGTGGTGATGCGCTTGATATCATCCGTCCATCTAGTCGATGGTCGTCCTCTGCTTCGATATGCATCTTGCCTTGGTCGCTATTCCAGAATCTTTGTGGTCCATCTATCATCCGTTAATCTGGCAACATGTTCGGTCCAAGCCCATTTAGCCATGGCTATTTATTCAACTGCATCTGTGAATCCTGTTCTTCTTCTTATTTCTAGGTTTGATACTTTATCTCTGATGGTAATACCTAATACTGATCTTTTCATTGCGCGTTGTGTAACTCTTATTTTATCTATTGTTCTTTTTGTCAGAGTCAGTGTTTCTGCACCATATGTAAGAACCGGTAAAACGCACTGGTTAAAAACCTTTCTTTTTGGACAAACGGGGATACTAGAATTGAATATGTTATTCAATCTTCAAAAAGCAGCCCATGTGATACCTATCCTTCTTTGTATTTCAGTTGTCTCGGCCTAAGCGAATCTTAGCGGTAGCGGTCAATATATGTATAGGCGAAAGAAAACTGGGCTAAATTATCTCGGCCTAAGCGAATCTTAGCGGTCGCGGTCAATATATGTATAGGCGAAAGAAAACTGGATGGCAACCAAATGCCTAGAAATCGAACAACTTTAGGAAAAATATGACACCTTTAATATTCATATAAAAGTAAAAAAATGACAGGTAGGCAAAAAAAAAGGGATAAGCCACAATATTAAATAATATTAGTAACGAAATAATTATGGGTACAAAAGACAAAGTAGGGAGATGGAAAGAATTCATACAGACTCTTTTCGACGACGATAGACCTTGTTCTCCACCATCCACACATAATCGAATAAATGAAAAAGGCCCCTGAAATAACCAAAAAAGTGATTTCCGTAGTAAAATCTCAGAAAGACGAAAAAGCCACTGATCCAGACAATATAAATGTCGAAATTCGAAAACTGATTGAAGATATCGAAAGTAAAAGCCTAGACTTAATAACAGCAGTATTCAATAATATATATGACACAGGTAAAATACCAACAGACTGGCGGCTAAAACCAACATTCGTAGCATTACCAAAAAAATCAAATTCCTCACAATGCGATGGTTATCGAATATTAAGCTTAATGTCTCATGTCCTTAAAACATTTCTCAGAATTATCCATACACGAATTTACAAGAAGTGCTAGTTCCAGATGAGTGACACTCAATTCGGATTTCGAAACGGATTGGGAGCACGAGAGGCTCTTTTTGCTTTAAACGTTTTAACGCAACGATGCAGAGACATGAATGTAGATGTATATGTATGTTTTATTTACTACCGAAAAGCATTTGACTGCGTTAACCATCAAAATATGATCGAAATACTGAGAACAATTTGAGTTGACTAACAAGATTTGCAAAGTGTCTCAGAACTATATTGGCACCAAACGGTAACAAGTGAAACACAGCACACAACATCCGAAGATATACAAATTCGACGAGGAGTGAGACAGGGTTGCGTCTTATAACCGCTACTGTTTAATTTGTATTGGGAGTCTATATTCAGAGAAGCATTAGACGAGGTCCAAGGCGAAATTAGGAAAAAAGGAATCAGCATAGACAACATCATATCCCTACGGAACGTCGGCGACTACCATGCTTATAATATTATTATACTGATCTCGGTCTTGCGCTACGTGTAGCAATTGGTCCGCTGTCAAACCTATCCACTGCCGCAAATTCCTCAACAAAGAGAGTTTCTTCCGTCCTATCCATTTCTTTCCTTCGATTTTACCGTTGAGAATTAGCCGAAGGAACTCATATCTTGGTCCTCTGATTATATGTCTAAGATATTCTAGTTTACGTCTCTTAATAATATTTAATAAAGTTCGTTGATATCCCATTCTTCGAAGAACTTCTTCGTTTCTGGTTCTGCTAGTCCATGCAATTTTTAGTATCCTTCGATACAACCACATCTCAAACGCCTCGATTTTATTCATGATATCGGAGTTTAAAGTCCAAGTTTCACATCCATACAAAAGTACAGACCACACGTAACATCTTGTAAACTTTTCACGGATTTCCAAATTTAATGAGTTATTAAATAATAAAGGCTTGAATTTTTGAAATGAGTTTCTTGCCTGTTCAATTCTACATTGAATTTCGAAGGATGGATCTAGATTTTGGGTAATCCAACATCCAAGGTATTTGAATCTCTGAACTCTCTGCAGCGGTTGTTGGTTTAATATCAGTTGGGTTGCGCCGATATCCACTTTACTGGTCACCATGTATTTAGTTTTATCAATATTTAACGACAGTCCCCAATTTGTGCATTCCATGTCAACTCTATTGATTAGCTCCCGCAGATCGTCGATGTTTTCAGCTAGAATCACAGTATCGTCAGCGTACCGTATATTGTTAATTATTTCTCCTCCTATGATAATTCCTTTTTGATCTTTTAAAGCTTTCCTAAATAGATTCTCAGAATACACGTTAAAGAGGGTGAGAGATAGTATACAGCCTTGTCTTACGCCTCGTTCAATACTGATTGGCTTTGATTCTCTGTTGTTGGTATTAATAATGGCTGTTTGGTTCCAGTAAAGTTTGGCAATAAGTTTGATGTCTTTCTCATCTAGTTGGATGCTCTGCAAGGCGGTAATTAGTCTGGTATGCTGAACACGATCAAATGCCTTTTCAAAATCAATGAAACACATATACACGGGTTTTTGAGTATCCTCAACATCGTTGAAGGAGTGTTTGCATAGAAAATAGTGCTTCTCTAGTTCCAAGGCATCTCCGGAACCCGAACTGCTCTTGACTAATTATTTCTTCGCACTTGTTGTTAATTCGGTTTAAAAGAATATGCAATTGTTGGGTTTCTTGGGTAGAGGAATAAAGATCGATTTTAACCAGTCCGATGGAATTTCACTGGTATCATATATTTGATTGAAAAGTACAGTGAGTTCTTTTATATTGTCATTTGAGAGTCATTTTAGCGATTCGTTGTATATTTGATCTGGTCCACTGGCTTTGTTGTTTTTGGCTTGGTGTATGGCTTTTTCCACTTCAGCTTTTAAGATTGATGGTCCTGTATTTGCACTTAAGTTAGGTAGTAATCCTCGATCATCATTAAATAATGCTTTAATGTAGTTTTCCCATTCCTCCATTACTTCGTCTTCTAGGGATAGTGCATGACCTTCATTATTCGTTAATGTTACGGGTGTATTTCTTTTGTGTACTGTAACTTCTTTTATTTTCTTATGTGTGTTAAATTCGTCATGTTTTCGTTGCAATTCTTCTAGTTCCTCACATTTTGCTCGCATCCATAACTCTTTGGCTTCCCTGATTTTTCTTCGAATCAGATTATGCTTTCGTTTATACTCTGAGTTATTTCTATTTTTAAGCTGTCTTCTTTCGTCCATCATTTCGATTATTTCATCTTTCATCCACGCTTGCTTTTTATAATGGGTGACAGTTCCACTTTGCGTTGTTGTATCGATGATACCATTCTTTATGTTATCCCATCTTTCTTCGACTGTTGGTACATTGTATACTTGTGTGATGTTGTCTCGAATTTTTTCTCGTTCATTGTCTGTTCAAAGAAATGTTTAAATTCTTCTTCTTTTAGTTTTTGTCTATCGTATTTCTTTGTAATGGAAGGCTTTTTGATTGTCTTTAATTTTAGGTTGATTCTAGATGCCAGTAAATTGTGATCGGTGGCTGCGTCGGCACTTGGATATATCTTAGTACATTTACATGAGTTTCGAAATCATGATATGGTCTATTTGGTTACGCATTACACTAAATATTTGGTAGCAAATATCAATAGTCAGTCTCATCCAAAAAGAGAAATCCTATCAAGAATAGAACAAGCAAGGAAAACATTCATGAGCATGAAAACATTTTTTACAAAATCAGATCTTAGTCTGCAGCTTAGAATCTCAACGATCAGATGTTACGCTTTTTCTGTCTTACTGTACGGCTGTGAAAGTTGGACAATGGACTCTGAAATGGAAAAAAGAATAGATGCCTTTGACATGTATATATACAGATGAATGTTGAGAATTCCATGGGTACAAGGAGTTACTAATGTTGAGGTACTTCGTCCCATATGTAAACAAAAGGAATTACTAAGAATAGAGAGGAATCAAAGCGAGGAAAATGCAATACTTGGGTCAAGTGTTGAAAGGCGAAAGATATGAATTACTTCAAGTTATACTGGAAGGAAAAGTACAGGGCAAAAGATCAGTAGGAAGACGCTAGAACTCGTGGCTGAAAGACCTGAGAAGATGGTTCGACCGCTCATCCGCAGAAATCTTTCGCGCAGCAGTTTCCCAAACTACAATTGTCATTTGGATCGTCAACCTTCGAAAGGAGACGGCGCCATGAGAAGAAGATACAGCCAGAACTAGGGATATAAAATAATAAAAAAAACTTACTTCCTTTAGAATTGTGTGTGCTGGTAAATCTTGTTTCAAATTATAATATAGCATGAGAGGAAATGGAACTCGATTGTTGCTCAATATAACTTTATGGTTCTGTACAATTTTAGCGTGAATGATTTACTGAGGGTCCGCGAAGGGCAACTGTTATACATCTTGACTTATGTCGGTGTTGCCAGTACAATGTTTTCAGGTGTTTAACAAATTAAAAGTGAAAATATACTGAACACTTACCTGTTAGAGAAAATAGATTCTTCGCCCACAGAGGATCGACATCCTCTCTAGCAAAACCACGGTGTTCATTAAAATGTTCGAAATCCTTTATTACCATTTGCTTGAGCAAATCGACATCTGTAATTAGTAAAGAGGGAACATTGAACTGATATAAGCCATAGTATCTGGTTCCAGGAAAGCTCTTGTAGAGGTTAATTACATTTTCCGTCAATGTAAATCGCCGGAATAAAAAAAACCAAGAAAAGGTAAAGGCTTCGAAAAATCCTTTTTGTAGCACACATCGTTCCCTCCAGTGGTAAAGAGGTTTTATAAAACAGAGGTATATTAGAGTTGCTGCAAGTATTGCTGCAAGGATCCAAAACATCTTAAAGGTGTCTCTACAATAAATATATAATACAATATAATATAATAAATATAGAATACATATATATATATATATATATATATATATATATATATATATATATATATATACATATATACATTGAACGAATTTAAAACGGATCATATAATTTAATATATGTCTCTTTGAACTGCATTTGAAATAGTGGACCAATATAAAACTTGGACAAAAATAAATGCATACCCGGTGATAGACTTTGTATAAAATATCGTTCAACTATCTGTCTCCTTTTAGGACGCACCGTAGTCCATAGTGTCGCCCAAAGTCAATGTTGCCAATCGCCGTGTAATAATCCAATTTGCGGATCTTTTTGATGAGAGTTATATCTTCTTCGTATCTTTAAATAAATTGGATATTTGCCTATATTTTTCATTGTATATACCAATCTACTACAACAGACTAATAACAAAAATAAACTTAATGGTTTGTAGTTATACTCAACTTCGTCGAGTTCGACAAATTGACAAGGATTTTGATAGTGTGTGACCGTGCATCCAATGAAATCGTACAATTTGACCGCAGATAGACTGGCCTGTCTGCTGCAGTACTGCAGAGTTGATCTCATCAATTTGTTGAGCGTGTGTGACCGTTTACAATTTGTCGATACTGCAAAAATACATATTTAACTACACACTTGATTTGATTATATTATAGAAAATCGACATGGCTTGATTTAGCGAGAATTTTTAAGAGAGTTTTTTAAATTATATAAAAAACAAGAATGCTTATAGCGAATAAAAGGTAAAACGTATCAGATAAAAACGTTCGAAAACAGGTAATGGACATTCTAGTTTTAAAGTTCCAAGAAGTAAACAAAGATGCGAATAAAGAGTATGTAAGAAAAAAAATTAACAGTTTAGAACATCCTATAAAAGAGAATTAAAATTAGCGTTGCAGTCCAGTAAATCGGGTGCAGGGGTAGACGAGATTTATTTTGCACCAAAATCTTGGATTCTTTGCACCAGAATCTACGTTTTATTTTAGGTTTCTTTTTACGCTTAGTTATACACAAAGTAGGAGACGCTAAAATGATTGTTTGATTTGACATGGTCGAGTACCGAACAAATACTGCGGCGCAGTATGGTGTGTGGGCGCACCAGATATACCAACAAATTGAACAACGCCTCTGTCCGATTATGTCGAACGACACCGCTGTACCGTGAGTGGCCGGCTTTAGGAAGCGATATGTAGTTTGACAGCATAATAAAATCCTAGATTTATGTGTAGCTTTCAATTTTTATACATGATGGGCGGGGCAACCTATTTGGGTGGAGTTTTGACTTGTTCTTGAATGAGTTCAGAATCCAGCAGCCCGCTGATGTATTGGATTTTATAATATAATTATTTGACAACCTTTTGTTGGCCAACCACCTAGAGCGGAGTTGAGCCGAAACACATATATTTCGTATGTTCCGAATTTATCTCGTTCAATCTGTATATATAGTAACAAGAAGTCGAGACCTCCCTTTGATAGCAAATTAGGTAAACTGCAAATTCAAAACCCAAACGACGCTAAAAGTAACCTTTTACTCCGTATCTACGGTTCTACGGCATCTAGGTATAGTTTGTTTCACGAAAAACGGTTGAGTGCTTAATGGTTACCTGAGTTGATCCTATTGTGTATACAAGAGTCTCTTAATAAACTACCGAAGTACACAGGGTCGCACTTTAGAAAATTTGTTATTTAATATATTTCATTGGTAGCTGTGTAATACACGATTATAAAAATTTATTAAATTATTTCATATGGTATTTTCAGGTTGTTTAAGTGAATATACTTGAAAATTGAACAATTTTTAACATGAAAAAAGTAGTTTTTTTGTTCTTCGTGAGTAATTGTAGTATATGGATCTAAATTCAGAAAGGTACTTTCCTTCACACTTTTTACAGGCTTAGGACTGTCGGCAAAAAACTTGCGTGTTTAAAAGTTTTTGCTCTTCCTAATTGGATATCGTTAAAAATGTACAGTAATAATAGTTTTATTTACAGTATGTACATACTAACAAATACATATACAAAAATTGATGAATTGAAAAAAAATATAGAAAAATATATACAAGTTAGTATTTATAAAAAAAATACCCAAAATAACCAAAATATATTTATGAATTCCTAAATACCTGTTTCGCTGTCGCTATCCTCTTCAAGATTAATAACAATTGGTTTAATTATGTGATTCAAAGTAACATATGAATTTTCTACGTTCATTATATGGCGTACTGAATTTTTTCAAATTTCAGGGGAGATATCATCAACACATTTCCTTATTAATTCGACTATACTACCACTTTCTGTATACTACAAGTCGGAGAAACATTTTGTGACCTAACATTTGACTTTAGTCGGTGCCACATATGCTCTATGGGATTAAATAAACAATAGTAGGGTGGAAGCCGTAACACTGTATGTCCCATGTCCTCGGCCAATACGTCATAAACATATACTTTTTTAATAGAAAATAATTTTAACACTTCTAACAGTTCATTTTTTAAATAACTTTCTTTAAAATATATATCGTTTTCTAACAGGTAGTTTTGAATCTCAATTTTCGTGTTATTTGCACTTGGAGACTTATGTAATTGACGACTGTGGTACCTAACTTGCATTGTCCATTACTATCACACTATTTTGAGACAGGTTAGGTATAAGACAATTCTTAAACCATTGCTCAAAAAGCTCTGCCGTTGTATCCTCATGGTAGTCCATGCAGGAGTCTTTAATGTTCTTTGCAGAAAGCCATAAGGCATTTGGGACCCAACCATTTTCTGATCCTGCATGTAAAATATTTATTCTTTTCCCTTTGTTTGATGGAGCTTTTGTTTGACACCTGTTGGAAGAATCGCACCATCCTTTGGATGGTGTTTCATGAGTGTCAAACCATGTCTCGTCCAGATAAATTATTGATCGATCTTCTGTACGGTACTTTCTTATGGTAGTTATATATTCAGTACGCCACTTTTGTAAACGATGGGACTCCAAAAGCACTTGTCTTTTGTCAATTGTACGATATCTGAAGCCCATTTTAGACAAAATCCTCCAAAGACTAATGCGGCTACAGTTTATTTGTGTATCATCATTAGTAAGCCGTTGTTTTAAAGCATCTAATGTAGGTATCCTTTGCTCTTCGTACATTGTGTAAATTTCGTCTTATTAAGTCCTTATCACTTTTGTCAATACAATTGGGAGAACCGGCATCCCTACGCTTCCTTTTTGACTTAAGGAATTTGATGTAATTTATTTTATTGTGGTTAGAGGTATTTTCGTTAAATCAGATATTTCATTGGCAGCAGTATTAGCAATAAGTCCTCTTGTAAGTAAAGAACTATATATTGTTTTTACGATTTCTCTAGCGTCAGCAAATAAATGCTTTTTCTTTGCTGGAACACTGGAAGAAGCACCATAAATGTTTTTACACGGACGCCACATAATGCTGTTTTATAGGTATAAATAGGTATAACACTGGTAACACTTGTAACACTTTCAACTAAATGAAACGAATTAAAAATTTCTCATCGATTTTATATACTTTTACAAATTATACAGAATAGAGGAAGCCTGTATAATTATCCCAGAAAATACTTAACGATTAACAAATTTATTGTGGTCATTATACGATCAACCATTGATAGTGAAACTCACTGTTAAAATTTTTACAGCTTTATGAAATAAAATATATTCTAATTGTTTTTATAATTTTATATGATTTTTTATCGTTTTTATATTACCAGGAATTGATGATACAAACAAGATAACGACACTCCACAGTAGCTTCAATTTTACCTGAATACTTACCTGCTCAACTAATGTTGACTAAGCTAGGGTACTTGCGGTCTGGTTTTATTTCAATAATTAAGCACTCAACCATTTTTCGTGAAATAAACTATAAGTGAAAGTAAAAGAGACCCTTACTGGAGGTTGTTGAACGACGCTATATAGAGCGTTCCCCGTTAAGAAAATAACATTGCAAAGATAGGCCAAGCATTTCTTATGGACGATAAAAGCGCGGCGATGCCACGATAAACGCACGATTCAGGGTTTTATTATTTGTATTTTTGTTTCCACAAATTATTTTGCAGGTAACGTATTAATGTATTAAATGTAATGTTATGTAATGTATTAAATTAATGTTTTTTAACGTAATTGACCAAAAGTGCCCATTCGAAACAAGAGATGAAAAGTAGAGAAAATGATTTTAATTCAATAAATAGTATTTACAAAAGATAATTTTATTTTATCTTATTTTAATTATAGTAACGACAGTTTATTTGTTTTTCTGTGAGACTATTATATGCCACGAATCATAAAAATCAGTAGAAAATATTGCTTAGCTAAATTATGCATTATGCCGGCTATTATAGGTAAGCAATTAAACAGACCGCTTTAAATGCATATCTAATTACTAAATGGAATTTAAAATAATACGATGTGCGTATGTCAGCGATTTTATGTCGTTTTTTGACTACATAATGATAATAAGACTTTGTGGTTCTTTAATAGTTATTCTGACTTCACAGTTAAATGTTAATTGAATCTGGAAATTCAAAAATTAAGCCAAGGGAGTATCTTGGACAATAAATTAACTATTTTTATTAGACCTATAATAATTACATGCCTATATCTGTCAATTAAAGAAACAAGTATTTATAATGCATTATTTTGTATTCAACTATACATATGCTTTTATTATAGAGTGAAATTAACTAACTACAAGTACACAGTGCTGAATACGGCTCTGATTAGAATGAATCATATATCGACAATCTAATAGCAAAACGGGCCTGAGAGTTTTGGCAACACTGATCTACATAAGCCCAATGTTATTTTCCTAACTTGAAACAAAGTATAGGAATAATTTGCTATCATTTGTTATTAAAGAGAGGTCTCTCGATTTCTAATCCTACCGCCGGCAAGAACAACTAGGCATTTTTAAAAAATGTCTATAGGCCCCAGGTCGACTCAGCCTGAATAAAATGA